TATATTAGTTATAAAATAGTTTCTTACAAGTTATTTAATAGTACTAATTATAATATAATAAAAATATTTCAAAAAATCAATAGGTTTCTGTAAAGTAACCATACCTTTCTTTCAGTAAAACTGAGAAACATGCCTTTAGGTAAATCTAAGCACATTAGTAACCAAATTATAGAACCTTTCAGGATGTAAAAAAATTGCATCAGTCAAACCTTTCCTCTTTGAAGGGACCAATATTTGTTCAGATCAATGATTAATTACATTTGAAACCACAGAAGATCCAGATGTAGCTAAAAGAATCATAAGAAATATACACATTAACTATCACAAAGTTACTATTGAATAGAAAGAAGCCCCTAAGGTCTGCTACTACTGTGACAAAGAAGGTCATATTAAAAGAGATTGTAAAGAACTCAAAATTTCAATAAAAATAAAATGTTTTCTTAAAGAAGCTAAAGAACAAAGAGAAAATGCCAAAGAACAAAAACTTGCAGCACCAAAACTAAAATTCCAAGTAGACAACCCATATATCGATAACTTAGCAGAATAGGCTCAAATAGAAAGACCTATAGAGGAATTAAATTTTCCACAACCCCAAACCTTTAATGAACATATGACCTTGGACAACTTGTCTCAAAACTTTAACAAAACTGAAACTTTCTTAACTAACATGCATGTCAAATCTTCAACCAAAGACCAATCTTTTGATTCAACCAAAAGTATGACAAATGCTAACTTAATCTCCAATTCAATTGCTATGAATATATCTTTAGAGTTAGATGAAGTAGAATTTACACTAGTTACCTCTAGAAAAAAAAGAAATAAGAGCAAAAAGAAGGATCAGGACAGAACAGCTGGTCCAAGCAAAAGCAAGAAGTTTCTCCAGTGAGCAGCTCCAAGTTAGATCACCCCTACTATGAACCAATACACATAGTGTAGCTATAAATACAAACTTTATTCTCATGATCAAAATCACTATACTGAATGTTAAAGGGCTTAATAACAAAGCCAAAGCACAAAAAACATTTATTTTTTTTTATTTTTATTTTTTTAAAAACACATCTAAGTGTGTTTTTTATTTATAATATTATTATTATATTATATATTTATATTAAGGTTTAATGAATTTTAATATATCTCTAATCTTTTTTTTATTTGTCTTAACTTTTCCTGAAGTCATGCTTTGTAAAAGATTAATTTTATGCTTTATTCTAAGCTTTGCTATATTAGATGCTGTTTCAGTAAAGATAGTGTTGTTTCCCTATCTAGCTTGAGTGTACCAACACCAAATTTTATATATTGTTATTATATGTACCCATATGACTGCTTTTCATTTTCTAGTTGATCCTATATTAGATGCTTGAAAGTATTTTCTATAGTAGAAGGTATTGGTTCATTGGTGTGTTTAAAGAAGCTATAAGCTGTTTTTCATATTTTTTTGCTTAAAGAACATTTTAAAGCAAAATGTTTGATAGTTTGTGTAGTATGTTGGCAGTTTGGACAACTGCCAGTTCATTTTGGTTTATATGTTGTAGACAATATTCTAAAAGAAAGCTCAGTAAGCTAGTTGTCATGCTATATCTTTTTTTTTGTTTAAGATTATTTTGGTTTCCATCCATTTAAACTTTGTAAGGTTTTCTTTTATCTTTGTTTGGTTCTCTGAAAGCTTTCATAGTTCATGAAAAGCTTTTAGAGCTTTCTTTATATTGAATTGTTCTTCATCTATTTCTCTTATTTTGATGTTTGTTGTTAGCTATGGCCATGCAGTATTAGCTTCTAGTTTCTTTTAAACCTTTTTCAGACTATAAGATATGGTTTCCATTTGTCAGGCTAGCCACTGGTTTTGCATAAGGTTTGTGAGAGAGCTTTTAGTGCTGTAGTGTTTTTCTTGATATTTAGTTCATTGTCAATTGTACTTCTTTCTGCAGTGGTTCAGAATAAATTGCTAGTTAGCAGTTTTATCCATACTATAAGCAGTTGGGCATCTAGCATATCCTTTAGTATTGGGGCTGTAAGGCCTCTTTGATCATAATCCAGTTGGAATAATGAGTACTAGGAAAGCATTCTAGAATTATTCTTGATCTAGCTTACCATTAGAGAGTTAATTTTGCTTAGTTGGCCTCTTGAAGAAGGGAGAAGGTAAGCCAGATACCAGATTTTGGATATAAGTAGAGTTTTAGCTGCTAGGATTTTCTCTTTAAAAAAGAGATTTCTTTGCGATAATTCTTGTATTTTATTTTTAATTTTTTTTGTAATATCTTTCCAAAGAGATTTGTTTGGGCTTTCTTTTAAGTTGATGCTATATTCTAATATTGTAACTGAATCTTGATTTTCATTCATTATCTTAAACTTTGTTTGCCCTTGAAGTTCAACTTTGCTTGCATTTGTTGTAAGTAGGATTAGAATTGATTTGAACTTATTAATCCTTGCATTAAAGGCTTTTTCGTATATTTGCAATATTTCTTGTAGTTTTATCTAGTCAGAGGGTGACCCAATTCCTAGTGATAAGTCATTGGCATAGGCAGCTACCTTGAATGTGGTGTTGTTGACTAGGATGCCTCTGGTGTTTTTACTAATAGCTTGTATAAGAGGGTTAATAGCAAGAACATATAATAATGGAAAGAGAGGATCTTCTTGTCTTACACCTCTTTCAACTTTGAATGATTCTGAGATATGTCCTGAGTCCATTATATGGGCATTTTGATTCTTGAACAGGAAGTTAATCATTTTAATAAATTTGTTATCAAAGTTCATTTCTTTAAGCACTAAGTTTATAAATTGATGATTTACTCTATCAAATGCTTTTTGCTAATCTAGGAATAAAACCCAGTGTTGTTTTGATTGATCTTTCTGGTTTCTTAATGTTGTTAAGATATCCAGTGCAGTGTCTGCAATTGATCTTTTAGCAATAAAGGCTTGCTGGGTTGGGTCAATGATGTTGTCACAAATTGGGTTAACTCTGTTTGCTAAGAGTTTCATAAAGATCTTTGCATCTGAGTTTACTAATGATATTGGTCTCCAGTTGTTTATGTTTGTTGGATTATTAGATTTTTTAGGGATTAGTGTAATAAGACTTTTGTTCCAGGACTGTGGAGCATGCCCAGTTTCTAGTACTTCATTGAAAAGTTTGGTAAGAACTGAAAGCAATGTTTCTTTTACATCTTTGTAAAATTTGTATGTTAGACCATCTGCTTCTGGGGCTTTATTGTTTGGAAGCTTCTTGATAATCTGACTAACTTTCTCTTCTGTTATTGGTCTTTCAAGTAGTGCATTTGTTGTATAGAGATTTTAATTAAGTTATTAGTGATTTGTAAAGCTGCTAATTTGTCGAATGTTTCTTCTTTGTAGATCTTCTGATAAGATTCTTTTATATAGTCCAGAATTTGTTTCTGTAGTATATTGTTTTGACTGTTGGGAATTTTAATATTGGTGCTGCAAGATGTTGAATGTTTTGTTTTGTATAGGGAGTAGAAGTATTTAGTAGATTTTTCACCTTCTTCTATCCATTTGGCATTAGATTTTGTTTGCTATTTGTTTGATAATGAACTTAATTCTTTTTGAAGTTCAATGTTGTGTCTTTCATTTACTAGTTTTAGTTCTTTTAGGTTTGGGTTTTTTGTGATCTTGTTGTTTAAAGTGCATATTCTTCTATGTAATTTTTGTATTTTTTTTCTGGCAAAAGGTGTGGTTTGTAAGCTCTAATTATTGATTGAATTATACACTTATGTAAGTCCCAGTTTTTAGGATCTTGAATATTTTGTAGTTCTTGTATAATGTCTGTTTTTAGTTCTAGAATTTTTCAGCTTTTTTTGTTGAATCTCCATATTGATTTGTGATCTTGGCTGCTTTTAAGGCTAAACTCACATTCTACTAGTAAATAATTTGAGTTGCCGAATCAGGTATGAATTTTTTGACACAAGTAGCTGTAGTTTGCTTTAATAAAGATGTAGTCTAGTCTGGTTGCCATTCTTTGGCCACCTTGTGTTGTTTGGTAGAATGTAAGAAATTGCTTATTATTTGTGCAGATAGCTGTGTCTGTATAGTTAGTCATAAGATTTTGACTATTTGTCTTAAGCAGTTATTTTGTGGTGCAGCTTGGCTTATTTTGTTTTTCTCAGAATCAAGGTTAGTGTTAAGGTCTTCTACTATGATGCAAATGCTTTCTTTATCTTTAATCGATATCTATTTCTAAAGAAAAAGACTTTGTCTTCTAAATTTGGAGGGGTATAGATGTTTGTAATTAGAAATGATTGTTGTTTAATTTTGGTTTTGGCAGTGATTACTCGGCTCTCCAGGATTTCTTTAATGTTTGTAAGTTTGATATCTCTTTTTTCTGCTAATATAGCTGTTTTTGAGGTCCAAAATGAATCATAGCCCCATTGCTTCACTAGAAAGTTTCTTGTATCTGTATCTTTAAGATTTGTTTCTTGAATTAGTATTAGATCTAAGTTATATGATTTTATAAGCGTAAGTGTTTTTTATGCTTTGGACCTATTGTTTAGGCCTTTGACATTCAGTATAACGATTTTGATCATTATATTATATGTTAAAGATAGGTGCTACACCAGGCTTGAGTGCCTTAAGGTCGATTTTTGACTGGCAATTGGCTTTGCAAGCCTATTGCCCCTTGTAAAGGTGTCCTTTTCTTGTTTGTTTTTTTTTGTTTTTCTTTTGCTTTCTATAAATAACTATTGTAAATGAAGTTTTTTTGAAGCTTTTTTCATGTAGGTAATGAGCTGTTGTACTATTAAGTGCTTCTGTTTCCCAGTTGGTGTTTGAAGTTTTATCTTCCTTTGTGGAGTTGTTTAGCTGCTCAGTTTCTGATTCTATTAACATTTCATCTTCTGTGTCTAAGAGGTGTTTAGAAATTGGCATTAATTCATCTTGTTTCTTATTTGCTTGTGTATTTTCTTCTGGTTTTTTAGTATATGAATTGTTTAAACTAAAAGTTGGTTCTGATTTTGTTAGTTCTTGAGCAACCTTTTCTTTTGGTCCCTCCATATAGGAGTTGTTTGGGCTTATAGTTATTTTATCCTATACAGTTTTTTGAAGTTTGGCTCTTTCTCTTTGCTCCTTTGCTTCTTTTATTCTTTGTCTTGCTTCTATTAATTCTTTTAGCTCTTTACAGTCCCTTTTAAAGTGTCCTTCTTTTTCACAGAAGAAGCAAACTTTTGGAGCTTCTTTTCATTCTGTTGTAACTTTATGGTTACTAATGTATATGCTTCTGAGAATTCTGCTTGTTAGGTCTGAGTCATCTGTAGTTTTAAAGATCACCAATCACTGATCTGAGCATACTGTAGTGCTTTCATAGAATAGAGGTTTAATTGATACAACCTGGCCGACATCTTGAAATACTTTTAGAATATTGTTGCTAATATGCTTAGCATTGTCCATTGAAATGTTTCTGAGTTTGATTGTAAGAAAGGAGCAATTTAGGTTTACTGGAATATATTTAAGCAAAGTTTGCTTGAAAAGTGAAATGCCTTCTATCACATAGTATTGTACTCTCTTTTTGTCTTTAAAAATTATTTCTAGAGATGTTCTTTTGCCTCTTGATGTATGTATTTTGGCTGCTACTAAGTCTTCTTTCAGACTAGCAATAAGCACTATTATGATATCATTAGTAGATATATTATAAGACTAGATATGTCTACTATTAGTGCATTTTTATTTTTTGAGTAAATATAATATCTGGATAATGAGTTTGAAAAAGTTGCTTTTTCTTTCTTAAACTTTGTAAATAGATCAGACCATTGCTTTGGTCTTGTGCCTCTATTTTGTATTTCTTTTACACTTATATCTAATTCCTTTTTAGTTTGGCTAACCTGTTCATTTATTGTTGTATTTGATGATTGGTCAACACTGTTTTGTTCATATGGCATAACATTCTCTGTATTCATGTGTTTTTGTTTATTGTTACTCAACACATGTTTGTTGCTACTGACATTTTCATGTTTTTGTTTGTTTTCCTCTGTTGCATATTTGTTGTCCTGTTTATTGTTGAATTTTTCTGCTGTTTTTGATATTGATAGTTGCTTGTTTTTTTGTCAGCTTGAAGAAGTTTCTGCAATTTTGATACTATTTTTGGCTTCTATTTCTATTTCTTTTTCTATATGACTGGCCCAGTTTGCTATATGTTTCTCAGCTTTTAATTCTAACATGCTGTTAAGTTTGTTCATTGTGTTTTTTTCCTAACTGTTATTTTTTGTAGTTTCACTTTAATTATTTTCTGCTTTTGCAAAGCTAAAAACTCTTTTTTTGCTATGATCTGTCTTAGGCTTTTTGTGTTGTGTTCTGCTCATAGTTAGTTTTCACTTTTTGGGTGTCAGGGTCTTGGATCTACTGGAGTTTTTAAAGTAAACTGTTATGTTGTATATATTAATTTTGTTTTTTCTATGTTTTCGGGTGTGAACTGGAAAGAGTTTATATTTTTTAAAACATTTATTTTACTTAAGTCATACAACTTAGATATAATTACAATTCAAGAAACCAATCTCAAAAACAAAGCTACAAGAAACTTTCTTTCACAACAATGGGGACTCGACTTCTTTTGGTTCTCTAAAACAGCAATTTTAGCTGGCAAAAAAAACATCAAACTTTTCAATTTTAAAGAATCTTTTAATAGAAGAGTAATTTCTGCTAATGCAGAAATAAAGCAACAATTATTTACAATTACGAATGTATATGCACCACCTAACCTTGAGGAGTGAGTCATTTTTCTTAGAAAATGGATTCCAAGTTTAGAAAATACAAGTGTCAACATTATTGCTAAAGACTTCAACACAAATATAAATTCTAATAAGGACAGAATAAGTCAAGCTGCTGTTCAAAATGATTGCTCAAAAGAACTTCTTGAGAATCTAATATCAGAATATACTGATACAGCAATAACAACATTAGAAAATCTCTTTCTAACCTTTTACCAAACAACACATAGAAACCAAAAAATAGCTACCCATCTAGACTATATATTTATAGACTCTAATTATAGTTACCTTTGCTAAAACACTTGCACTTACTTTGGCAACTCAGACCATCTTCTAGTTGAAAGTGAACTTAGTTTTAAAACCTTCTGTAACTATAAATCCTCTTGGAAATTTAGCAGAAAATACTGGAAAATTCCAGAAATCAAAACAGACATTCTCAATGAACTCCAAGAAACTAAAGATACCTCTAACTGAGATTTACACAAGTGCATAGTACAGTCAATAATCAGAGCCTATAGACCTCCACCTCCTTCTGAGAGAAACATCCAAAGAAGTCATAAAAAATTATTTAATATAAACAACAAAGTGACCAAAAATCCCAATTCAGAAGAGCTCAAACTAATAGCAGAAGACTTAAACTTAAAATTACAAGAAGAGATTAGTAGTTTATCAGAAAAATAGTGAATCAAATCAAATGCTAAATGGATTGAAGAAGGTGAAAAATCTACTAAATACTTTTTTTCTCTATACAAATTGAAATACTCTACAGCTTGTAGCAGTAAAATACAAATATTAAATAATTCAAATAACATCTCAAGAGAACAGATACTAAATTACATCAAAGAAACATATATCAGAAAATCTATAAAACAGAAGAAATCAACAAAGGAGCCATAAACCAACTCACCAATAACCTAACACAAGTTTCATCAGAACATAACCAACTATTGGCTAAACCAATAATAGAGGAAGAAATAGGATTAGTAATTGATAAATTATCAAACAACAAAGTACCAGGCTCAGATGGTCTTACTTATAAATTTTACAAAGACACCAAGAAGCTTATACTGCCAATCTTAGCCAAGCTTTTTAATAGCATAATGAACAATAACAAAATATTAACCTCCTGAAGCAAAAGTATGATTACTCTAATTCCTAAGAAATTAGATGACCTAACCAACATAAACAACTGGAGGCCAATCTCACTTATCAACTCAGATGCAAAAATCTTTATAAAAATTTTAGCCAACCAAATTAACCCTATCTTAACAACATTATTGAACCATCTCAACAAGCCTTTATTGCTCATAAATCAATAGCAGACATAGCATTTGACATAATTACAACTCTCAGAAATCAAAATAACCAGTCTAAGCAATACTGAATGCTACTACTAGACCAACAAAAAGCTTTAACAGAGTCAACTATACCTTTATTCAACTTGTTGTTGAAAAAATAAACTTTAGCAACAAATTTATCAACATAATAAGAGTCCTATTCAGCATCCAAAAAGCATATATTGTAGACTTTGGTCTTATTTTTGAGCTATTTAGAATAGAATGAGGAGTCAGACAAGGAGATCCTCTCTCTCTATTATTATGTGTACTTGCAATTAATCTACTAATACAAGCAATTGAACAAAATATCAAAGGCATACTAGTTAACAATAAGGAATTTTTTTTTTTTTAAAAAAAAACACGAAATGGTGTACTTTATTTAATAACTTACAAATACATTATTATTAGACTAATTATTGCTATTTATTTATAGTTAGATTTAAGAACCTAGTTATCTTGGCCTTTGCCTTGCTTTTAGATGTTTTATCTAAAACTCTGAGACTTTTAATAATCTTGGCCTTTGTAATGTTCTTTATAGCTTCTTCTGGAATAATGTTATTTCCCCATCTGGCTTGAGTATACTATAATCATATTTAATATATCATCGTAATATGAAGCCAAAGTGTAGATATTTTTTCTTTAAATCTTTTATATTCAAGGCATTTAGAATTTTTTCCATTAACTGGAGATGGTTTTCTTCTAGTTCTGTTTGAAGAAAAGTATATTCTTCTTTCTAGAAAATTTGACTAATCTGACAATTGGTAGCAAAATAACTTGGAGTTTGCTTCTGATTTGTACAGTTTAGGCAGTTTTCATCAATTTCTTTGTTGATGTGCATAAGACAATATCCTAGTGATAATGCATTGTTTTGCAGTCTTCAGAAAATGTTCTTCTTTTTATTAAGTAGTCCTTTGCACTAAAACCAGTTAGGAGCTCTTTTAGAGTCTTCTGATAGGCATAGTTTGATTGAATTTTGTTTTAAAAATTTAGTAGCTCCTTGTATTGAAAATTGATTTCTAGGAGTATTACAGACTTTTAATTGCAACATGTTCTATAACCAATTACTAGTTGCAAGAATGGATCCTTTAAGTCTTTTCTAAGCAGTTAGGTATGGCTTCCAATAGTCAGGCCATCCTTTAAGTCTAATTGGCATTTTGGTGAAAGCTGTTGTTGTGATTAAATTTCTTTTGATCTGGAGACTTTGAGAGATAAATGATTTATCAATTTTGGTCTATAAACTATCTGCAGAGAGGAGTTTTAGCCAAATTGAGATGAGTCTGGAGTCTAAGATGTCTTTAAGTATCAGAGCATTAAGACCTTCTCTGTTATAGTCCAGTTGGAATGCTGAGTATCTTGGTAATAGCTTAGACTTGTTTTTAATCTAGCCAAATATAAGCATATTAATTCTGTCTAGTTGTTTTCTACTAGGCAGCAGTAGATATGCCATATACCAAATTTTTGATATAAGAAGTGATTTGGATAGCAAGATCTTTCCTTTAAATAACAGGTTTCTTGTTAAGATCTTTTCTATTTTATTCTTAATGTCTTGAGTTATGCTTTCTCAGACTTGTTTTAGCAGATTACCTTTGGCATTTACTTCAAATCCAAGGATTCTTAGCTGACTGTTCTCCTTTGCAATTTTAAAATGATTTTGGTTTGAAAGGCTAGTTGCCTTGGTCATTACTGTTATTGGTATTAGAACTGATTTCTTAAAGTTAATTCTAGCATTGGCTGCTGCCTCAAATTTTTGAAGTGTTAGCAAGAGCCTTTTCCAATTTGGCTATGAACTGATTCCTACTGTTAAGTTATCTGCATATGCAGCTGCTTTGAAATAGTGTCTAGTGATTTGTATGTCAACTAATTCTTCTTGAATTTTTAAGATTAACAGGCTTAGAGCTATAATGTAAAGGAGGGGTAAAAGAGGGTTACCTTGTCATATACTATTTTCTACTCTTATTGGCCTCTGATCTAAATTCTGCATTTGAGATATGTGCTGTCAGTAAACTAAGAAGAGATCTGATAATTCTTGTAAAACTGTTATCAAACCCCATTTTCTTCAGTACTTAAAAGATAAAGCTGTGACTAATTTTGTCAAAGGCCTTTTGTTGGTCTAGTAGAAGAATTCAATGAGAGAGAGTTTGGTCATTTTGGTTTCTTAGTATAGTGATAATATCAAGTGCTGTATCAATAATGGATCTTTTTTTTATAAAGGCTTGTTGGGCTGGACCAATTATCTCTTTATAAATTAAATTAATTCTGTTAGCCAAGATTTTCATAAATATTTTGTTGTCACAGTTTGTTAGTGAAATTGGTCTTCAGTTGTTTAAATCAGAAAGATTGTTAGATCTTTTAGGAATTAAGATAATAATGCTTTTGGTCCATAATCTGGAAACTGTGTCAGTCCTTAGACAGTAGTTGAACAAGTTAACCATTACTGGAAGAACTTCATCTTTGATTTCTTTATAGAATTCATAATTTAAACTGTCTGATTCTGGTGTTTTGTTGTTTAGAAGTTGGCTAATTACAGCACTTATTTATTCTACTGAGATGTCTTTAGTTAAAGCTTGATTGTGCAGCATTAATACTGATGGTAGGTTCTGCATAAAGAAGTTTATTGCTTCTTTGTTTACCTCTTCAGCTTTGTAGATTTCTTAATAAGCTTCTTTGATATAATGAAGAACATCTGTGGGATTCTAAGATTGACTATTGTTGGGGATTTGAACTTTGTTTTTGGCTGATATACAGCTTCTAGATTTGTAAAATGAGTAAAAGAATCTAGTAGATTTTTTACCTTCTTCTATCTATTTTGCATTTGATTTGGTTTGCTATTTGTCTGAAAGTGCTTGGATTTCCTTCTGCAGCTGGGCATCGATATTTTTGCTCAGTGCTAATAGCTTATCTGACTTTTCTTTAGCAATTTCATTATTAATTTTGGTAAGTTTTTTTTGAAGTCTCTAAATTTTCTTTTCTGGCAAGGGCTGGGGTCTAAAGGCTCTTGCAATTGATTGGATTCTGCACTTGTAAAGATCTCATTTGAAGAAGTCTTTTATACTTTGAATTCTTCTATTATTTTTGCTTTAAGCAATAGGTTGTTCTAACTGTATTTGTCAAATCTTCATTGTTTGGCCTTAGTAGAGTTGGAAGTTAACTGAAGCTCACATTCCACCAGCAGGTAGTCTAAGTTCCCAAACTGAGTTGCAATGTGTTTGCAACAGTGTCCATAATTAGCATCAATAAAGATGTAATCAAGTTTTGTAGCTATTCTTTTACTACCTCTGGTATTTTGATAATAAGTTATAAAGGATTCCTCTCTTTGCTTCAAGCTTACTGTATCTAAAAACTCCAAGTTAAGTCTTTTGAGAATTTCTCTTATGGGATCACTAGTTGAGGGTGAGTTGCTAATTCTATTTGTTTGTAAATTGAGATTAGTATTAAAATCTCTTGCCATAATGTTTATGTATTTAATAGTTCTGTCCTCAATATTTGGAGGTGTGTAGACATTAGTAAACTTGAAGAGTTGTTGTTTGTAAGTTAATTCTGTGATAATAACATGCCCATTATGAAAATCTTGAAGTTTGGTAAATGAAACATTTTGGTTGCCTGCCAGTATTGCAGTTTTTGATGTCCAATAAGAGCAGTAGTCTTACTGTTGTTGCAAAAACTTCCTGATATTAAGGTTCTCTAGATTTGTTTCTTAAAGCATTATTATATCTAAATGGTATGATTTTAGTAATGTTAATGTTCTATGTGCCTTATCCATATTATTTAAACCTTTAATGTTTAGTGTTGCAATTCTAATTTTTTTAATTATAATAATTGTTATAGAGGGAAAGGATGATCTAATAGAGACTCTTTTTGATCCTATAGCTGTTCTTAAGCCTGTTGCTGTTTTCTTGTGGGTTTGTAACCTTTTGCCAAATTTTAGATTTGTATTTAGATGAAACCAAAGTAAACCCATCTTTATCTTTGCCTTGAGGGTTTGTAGATTGACTTGGAGTATTGCTATATGTAGTAGCCAAAAGGTCTGATAAGGTCTTCATTCTGGGTATAAAACTATTTCTTTCAGATGTAATTGCTTTCAAAATATGTTCTTCAGTAGGCAGCATCTGTGAGTGTAGTTCTACTTTCTCAGACTATAAAGATTCTGTTTTAGATTCTTCATCTAATTCTAAATTAGATGAGGTAATATTTTCTTCTTGCTCATCTATTGTTAAATTGATGTTTTTTCTTTTGTCTATCAATATTCATACTAAACTCATTAGTTGGATTATAGGGGTTATTCAAACTTAGAACTAGTGGTTCCTTTGCTTTTTGTTGGAGCAGCTGTTTATTTTCTTGTCTTTTTTGTATCTTGCAATTTTTGTGAAGGTTTTTGATTTCTATTGATGTCTTGTATTCTGGAAATTCTTTTTTAATGTGTCCTGTTTTATCACAAAAGTAACATAACTTTGGAGCTTCTCTTCAGTCTGTTGTTACTTTTTGATTCCTAACATATGTGTATCTAGGAATTCTAGAAGCCAAGTTTGGGTCTTCTGTTGTTTCAAAGATCACAACTCATTGATCTAAGAGGACCAAGGTGCCTTTGTGGACCAGTAGCTTGATAGAAGAGATGGTACCAATATCTTGAAAGCTTTCTTGATGGATTCTGAAACAAAGTTCTTTTTTCTTATTAGGGTGTTACAAAGCCTTATTGCTAAAAGGTTGTGTTTGATGTTAATAGGGATGTATTCTTGAATATTTTGTTTAAAGATTGTGAGGCCTTCAGTTGTGTAATACTGTTGTTTTTTTCTTTATCTAAGAAGACAACTTCCAGATGTATGCATCTGTTTTTGATAATTATTGGTTTAACTGCAATTAGGTCTTTACCAATATCCTTTTGCATAGCTTCAATAATGTCAAAGGTAAGAATGTTTTCTAAGTTATGAATTTCAAAGATTAGTATATTTTCATTTTTAGTATAAAGTCTCTTTCTAGAGGAATAAGTTGAATAAGTTGCTTTTCTTCTTTTAAGTTTTACAAAATGATCTAACTACTGTCTAGATTTTGCAGAAGTATCTTTGGGTTTTACTTGAACATTAGTGTGATCTGCTTCATGTTCAGTTGCTTGATCTGTTTTAAGATCAGCATTGGTCAAATGATCAGTTTGTTTTGGTTGATGTTCCTTTACTTGCAGGTACTGGCCATGTGTTTTGTTTGTTTTAATGCATCTTGATAAGTCACATAAGATGAGATGGCCAAAACATTTTCTTTTTGCATGGCCTTTGCATTTACTTTATTTTTATTTTTAGACTTTGTATTTTTAGCTTTAAATACAATATTGAGATTTTTGTATTTTGTATTGTTGTCTTCTTTTTTGACCTCATTTAGAGAAGCTTTAATATGTTCTAAGTTTTCTTTGTTGCCTGCTTCATTGTTGAAAAGTTCGACTGTTTTTATGTTTGAAGTCCTGGCCTTTTTGACTTTCCTGTTTAAACTGCTTGCAGAAGTATTTGACATGATTGTGCCAACTTGTTTTCATTTTCTAGATACAAAGGTTTTAGCTCTTGCTATGTATTTTGTAACTAAGTTCTGAAAATTTATTGTTTTTTATA